CCCGACTTTGAGAAGCACTGATCTAAGGAAACCAGATATCATCAGCTTGCTATGGAGGTAATTTAGTTACTCTAATTATGAAATAAAAATTTTCATTCAAAAACACAACCGTTCTGATTTACCTTCTGAAAACCAAAGTTTTCTCTCGCATGCCAAAAAAGAAAAAAAAATTACAAAAAGAAACCATTATCCAATATGACTGTTAAAGTTCAGTGTGTCATATTTATTCAGCATTAAAGAAAAATAGTGCTTCATATTTTTTAAACTATGTTCAAGAACATATGTCAAAAGGACAAAGCATGTATGTACAATAGCTGAAACAATGCCCTGCCACTGGAAATAAGCTTTCCCTCCACCCCCCGTTTTGTTTTTCCAATACTGGTAGAAATTTTTTTTTCTTTTAATGGTTGTGCTGGTTGCTCTTTTTCTTCACCATGCAAGAACAATTAAGCCTATCTTCATTAATTTGCATTATGTATGATTGTTGGATGCTTACATCTAAGTATCACAGTAGCTCTAATATAGTCTTTTTCATCCTTCCAGCATCAATAAGTCGTCGAATGCATTAAAAAACAGCACACAACTAAGATTTGCAGATGATGCAAAAATAAACATAGGCAAAGAGTTTCAATAACTTACTGTTAATTATGTCCTTTAGTACTATTATTTATTAAAGCCCAGTTGAGATCAGGGACCCTTTTTGCTATGCACTGGACAATCACATAGACAGTCCCTGTCCCAGGAAACAAGCACAAAGAGATGAAGTGACTTGCCCAAGGACACATAACAAGTTGATGACACAACTGGAATTAGTACCCAGGTCACCCCTCGCCCAGACCAGTATCCTATTAACAAGGACTATCATCATTAGTGTGCTCAAAGCTTTTAACAAGACACTTAAAAACCACCAGCACCAATACTGACCATAAGCCATCTAGGATATTTTGGAGCCACATGCTGCCCCAGATCTGCACTCAAACTGCCTCTGAGGTTATGAGGAGTTCCATATGTATGCTGCATGACTCTTATTACCACATCATCTGCAAGAATGTAAATGTAATGGAATAGTTGAATTTTTTAATAATTTTTTTTCTTCCTAGTTTAAATTGTAACAAGTCAAGTATTTTCTGAAATGTGAAGATTTACAATTACAGTAAGATCAGCGTACATATCCAAACAAAAATGCTAACTGTTTAAGACCAAATGAACATGCACGTGTACACCCACACACCATCCAAAGATAATATGTGCCTAAAGTTAAACAGGTGCATTACTGTTTTTAGGACTGAGGAAGAAACATGCTTTCAGCTTCAGCATATTCTTTGAGTATGAGGCACTGACTAAAAAAAAAAAAAAAAAAAATTCTACCGAAGTTTCTCAATGGATGATTAAGTTTCCACTGCCAATGTTTTATATGGAGGAAAAATAATAGAAAGTTTTGTAGTGTATCGTATTTTAAACATCTGGTCTGCACTTCAAGGTTTACTGAATCGCACACCAATGAACAAGATCACCACATTTTCAGCTTGTTATTTTTACCAATGCAAACCCAGATGATTTAATGACTCTAATTGCTTTGTCAAAAATGTCTAGACACCTTAGCTACTATTACTTATTGAATTGCTTTAGGCACAGCAGTCCAAATGTTAAATGTATTAGAGTATGTTTTTGCATTTTCATGGACAAAAAGTTTACAGTAAGTAGCTAATGGCCCATTTCATGTTTTATAAAAACTGTTTATCTTCTGCATAAATGTCTGACCCTTTACTGAGTTGTATTTTATCACAAAGCTGGTCCAAAATGTATACATAGGAGATATTTACAAGCTCCTAAGTATTTTGGAGGGATGAGAAAAACAAGCTGTATTCAGGAAGTCACTTATATATGTATAACCAACGTGATTATAATTTGTCTAATTTGATACTGAAAAACACATGATATAAGATATGGTTTAATAATAAAAGGTGCCATTTACATTTCTCACATTTCAGCACCATGTTAGTCAGTATTCTTTGTTCTTACTCATCATGGCCCAGTGGTTAGGACATTAGCCTAGGACTTGCGAGACCTGGGTGCAAGTCCCTGCTTTCCCACACACTCTGTGTGACCACTGAGCCTCTCTGTGCTTCATAATACAGCTCAGGATGTTGTGAGAATAAATAAATGTAAAACTGTGAGGTGATCAGATACTACGGTAATGGGGGGGCCACAAATAGACTGCCACTTTTTTTTATTGAGATAAATAACCAAATTCTGCCCTCAAGTGGACAAATGGTTCAAGTCAACAGAATCACAGATATTCACCCAAAGAGGACATAAAGCATCCCCCAAAGAACTGCCATTGTCTTTAATGAGAAAAGTAACTGAAATGATTTGAATACAAACTTGACTCCAAAAGTATTCTACAACTCATCTAAATGCTAAGACCAAGGTGCCATCAATATCAGCCTTTCATTTTTAAAAGTGTCGACAACTGTTTCCATCATACCATTATTTTGCTCGTATTATACATTCTTTGTTTGAAAGAGCAAGGTTTTTCTACTTAAAAAAAATATGGAGAAGCACATAGTACTGATCCAACATGGATGTCTTTAGCTCTCATTCCATAAATTGTTTCATTCTTTAAATCATAAGAGTCTTGGGCTCTTTTCAAAATATTTCTTGATTAGCAGCCATTCATGCTGGAACAGCAACGTGTCCATAATTATATTAATGCAACATTTGTTCCTCCAACTTTTTTTTTGTATTACTAACACTATTAAAATTGAAAATTCTAAAAAAGCAATTCTTGAACTTTTTTCCTCGTCAAGAGATCACCTTCAAAGTATAACAACTTAAGCAGCATATGGCATTTAAATTTTCATTTAAATCTTTAAAGAAGCCCATTATTTCCTTAGGTTTAAGAAAAGAACCCTGCTTTATTTCACCACACCAGCCATAAATTATTCATTAATTCTGTTTGCTAACCCCGTAACTGAGCCCAGATGTTTCTGTTGGAGAAACATTCCTTTAAAACGTTAAAGACAGCAAGCTGTGTGGATAGAGCTGACATTTCTCCTCCTCCTCCTCCTCCCCCACCACAATATATTGAATATTAACTCAGGGGGGAAAAAAAACATTTTTAAGTATTTGAAAATATTCTGAATATAGAAGTCAGCATTTGTGAAATGCCATTGAATTTGGCACAACCGTTCCCAAGCCACTGTGTAAAGAGCCGCTCTGTCCACTGTTGTGCCACATTAAATTACTAGTCCTTTCCTGACAGAGGTTCTGCTACCTTCACTCCGTACAGTAACTGGAAAATTTACAAGCAGAGAAACACTTGTTGCCATGCATAAACGTACTTTATATCTGTATGCTAACATTTTTAATTACAACTAGCATTTTTGAGCTTGCTACCATTGGCAACAGCCATTTTGTTGAAGCGAGAGATCACTCACAGCAGCATCAGTATGGAAGCTCATTGTTAGGGATTATAAATCAATTTAAGTATTGCAGAAGAACTTAGACATTTCACACTGGTCAATATTTGTAATGTGACCATTAAAACAGACTTGTGTTGAAGAAGAATGGAAACTAGTTTACAATAGTTAGACTTCCATTCTGATAATGTCACAGATTCTGCTACTTTCAGCATAATGGAAATGTCAACAGTAATTGAAAACTGCTTTCAAACATTTCATAGTTTCTAGAAATGATTAAATAAACTGGGCCTGAATGATCCAGAATAGCATTCTGATTTGGAGATGTGAACTTTTTCGGCCATGTAGTACTTCTCCAGTTGTGAGTGATGTGGAGATATAAACGTGGCTGTACAAATAACACAAGCACTTCCAGCAAACCACAGAACAGTGTAAAAGGTGCTAATAGCCACCCTAGAATCTGCTTTAAAATAACTCAGCAGAGTGGAGCAGTTTCCTAGGGCTTGTCTACACTGGCAACATTAAAGCACTGCTGTGGCAGCTCTTTAACGTGGCTTGTGTAGTTGCGACAGAGCACTGGGAGAGAGCTCTCCCAGCGCTCTAAAAACCCACCTCCACGAGGGGCGTAGCTTCCAGCACTGCCTACACTGGCGCTTTACAGCGCTGAAACTTGTTGAGCTCAGGGGGGGTATTTTTTCACACCCCTGAGCAAGAAAGTTGCAGCGCTGTAAAGTGCCAGTGTAGACCAGCCCCTAGAGTCTGAGGAGACCACATTCTTAAAGCAAAGCTCAAAAGACCAATTAGCACCTTCAAAAATGGTTGAAGATCCAACAAATGGTTTATTTTTGCTAACCCAGTCATCAGAGCAGTAAAGGTAAAGTCCACCTAGCTGAGCATATGTATGCCTTTCCATCCCCTGAAGAACAGACTGAAGAAACATACAGCTGTGCATTGCTTTAGAAGCTGGACCCAGCAGCACCTAGCTAGTCTGGGGTGGGAGTGAGGAGAGGGTAATGGGCACAGAGGACCCCTATAAAATAAAGGTTATAGGATGAAGTGTAGGAAATCCTAATTAGCTCCCTCTTTCAGTGAGGTGTTTGAAGCCAGGGATATGGTGATAGGCTGCAAGTCACCTGGTTCTCAGGTAGAACACCAGCAAGCAGCTCAGTTAGGAAGAGCTCTACAGGAGCAGGAAGGAGACAGAACGTGGAAGGAGGCTCTCCACCCCAGCTAGCTGGAACACCTAGCTAGAGATACTCACTATGTGGGAGCAGAAGTCTTGTGAGGTAGATGCCTTAGGAAGGGCCAGGTAGCAGGACACGGCTTATCTGTTCTGATTTATTTTGGACTGTTTTAGTTTTAAAAAATAAACCTGAAGAACTGAAATTCTGCCTCTATCAGGAGCTTACTTCACCCTCCACTGTACATGTGTATGTATGGATTATTATTTCAGAATCTATTTCAATAGCACTAAAACCATAATCTTCCATTTTTCTGGACATACGGTTATTGTTCTCTTCTCCTGTATCACACAAAAAAGTTTGTTATTTAAAAAGAAAAGAAAAAAAGCAGTTTTACTTTGGTTGTGCCAAGCAGCCAGGTGCTATAATATTGCAAGTTTCATCTTTAGTCTGCAGTGCAGTGAGTTCCACCATATTAACCATCACATCGTTTGTGTGGCCAGGAAGTCGAGGAAGCACAGAGAATATCTTCTCTGCTAGGCTGTCACCATGATGACCAACTGCTCCTGGGAAAAGATAAGGAAATAAGCAGTCAGATACAAACATGGGAAAAAACAGAGTATTAAAAACAAAACCCCATTAGATTACTGGGGATAGGAGATTGTTAGTCTTGTTTTAAAAGATAACACACACATTTTTAAAGTTACTTTGCTATAAGAGCCTGGGGGTATCCAATGTTAAATTAGAAAGAACAATACTTTTTTGAAGAACTTATTTTAAAAAGTACAATTTAAATGGACTTTTATGATTTTAGAGATGTTTGAGATTTTTTCAAACAAGAATCTAATTCCTTATCTAAGGAGAAAAGTGGACAAGAAGGCTTCCAGTGGCTATTTAAGTAACAAAAACAAACAAAAAAGCCCAAAACCCGCACCACACTTTTCTTACCTAAATGAACAGTGGTAAACTAAAACTTCTCCTCTTATACAGGCCATATGCCTCCTCCAGGGGTGTGGCTTTGCATACCTCCTAATGTAGGCCTGTGTCTTTCTGGCATAATGTGGCTCTGAATGTCTTTTCTTGGGTTATTTCTGACCAGTTATATTAGCTTGCATTTGTCCAGAATTAATCTCATTTTATTATTTCCTGGCCAGATTCCTAATTTTTTTTTTTTTTTTTTTTTTTTTTTTTGCTCCCTTTATATTATTTGTGTTCTTTCTGGTGTTCGTCGCATCTCTCAATTTAGTACCATCTGTATATTAGTACATATTTGGAGGGAAAATGTAAGATTTCATATAGAAAGGGCAAGGACCCTGTCTCCTTGGACATCTTATACAAACTATGATTTATAGCTCAATGTTGTAATCATCCCCTTATTCTGACAGATAGTTGTCATTCAAAGAGAAGCCACTTCACAGTTAAATTATTACAGTTAGTAGTAGGGATTGACAGCAGCTGAAAATATTTCAGACAGGATCAAACACAGTACTGTCTGACAAGGTATAGGTTGTGTTCAGATATAGTTTGTGAAGAATCTGGCACTTATTAATTAATCAAACTGCTATATTTAGAGCTTTATGGTGGCAATGGGGGTGCTGCAGTTAGTTACAAAGTGTTCTAGCAGTTTCAGAGAGGTCAGCAAAATATGATGGAATAATTTGAATGTTCTTTTAATGCTTAAAAGAAAGCAGCACCCAGTTAGCTTAGTGCACGGATTTGAAAATTCCCATGCTTGGCAGCAAACTTAAATAACAGCTCAAACCTTTCCCATCATCCAACATACTGTATATATTTGATCTACACTGCTAGCTCACAATGCCACATAAACAAATAAGGAAAGTGTCTGGCTCTTTATATATGAGAGACTACAGCTATTAAGGTCATTATTTTGAAACACAATGCACAGTTCATCTTACATAGGTAATCATAGATTTTAAGGACAGAAGGGATCATTAAATCAGTTATTCTGATCGACTGTACATCACAAGCCATTAAATTTCACCCAGGTACCACTGCATTGAGCCCAATAATTTGTGTTTGTCATGGAAAGGCTTTGCTGGACAAAGATGTGTTTGTTTTTAAAAGGTAGGTTTTAAGGGAGGTGATTTGTTGCACAAGGAAGACGGCAACCATTCCAAGTATAGGGCAAGCCATGAAAAAATGGAGCAAAGATACCTTGCAGAAAAGTGGCATCATTATGGTGGAAATCTGTCAGACTATACATTAGCTTTCTTTTCTGCTTATAACAAGACCCTATCTTCTTGGTTCTACCTCCTTTCTCTTGGAGATCCATGTATATTAGGCATGAGTAATGCTAAGTTTTAGTCACTGGTATTTTTAGTAAAAGTCATGGACAGGTCACGGGCAGTAAACAAAAATTCACACCCTGTGACCTGTCCATAACTTTTACTATACAGGCAGTCCTCGACTTTACGACATTTGACTTAAGACAAACGGCACTTACGATGTTTCTGAATTGATCCCTGATTCAACTTACGACCATTGGTTTCGACTTTACAATGGTCAGTCCCGCAATGGACTATATTGCAGTTCTGAGTTACAACGTTTCGACTTTTGACAAAATTTTCAGGAACCAATTGTGTCGTAAGTCTGAGGACTGCCTGTATACCCCTGACTAAAAGTTGGGGGAGGGGTGGCTCCGGAAGGGGGGGCCCGGGGGCGCCGCAGGTGCTGGGTGGCCTGGGAGTGCTGCAGGTACTCGGGGCGGGGGAGGTCCAGGGGGGCAGCATGGGTACTTGGGGGGGGCGCCACGGGTACTCGGGGGGGGAGGGAAGTGGCAACCTCCAGCTCCTAGCTCCACGTGCTGCTTTGGCTCCATCCCAAGCCCCAGTTCTGCAACTCCCATTGGATGGGAACCACGGACAATGGGAGCTGTGGGAGCAGTGCCTGCCGGGAGGAAGCAGCACATGGAGCTAGGAGCTGAGGGAGGGGAGTTCCTGTTGCCCTTTCGGGGAGCCTGCCCCCCAGGTAAGCACCACCCCACACCCCAATCCCCAGCCCTGAGCCCCCGCACACCCAAACTCCTGCTGCTGAAGGGCGGGGGGGCCTGAGACTGCCCCAACAGCAGCCGGTGCAACTGGCCCAGTGGCTGCTCAAGCTACGCAGGTGGCTCCCGGGCCAACTGCACGGGCCGCTGCAGAAGTCACGGAGGTCACGGAATCCGTGACAAACACCAAGCCTCAGGCATGAGCAGTGTGTTCTCAATTCAAACATACAAGTGAGGAGCAGGCCTCAGATTTATTAGAGATGAGACCAGGATGTAAACTCAACATTAAATAGTAACTAATTTGGAATAAAAATCATTCATAATCACATAATATTAATACATATGCTTTTCCTATCTTAACTGCTAGTTAACAAGGGGAAGAGTTTTGAAGGGGTGGAAGGAAAAGGAACTCTGAAAGCCACTTTAGGCTGCCATCACTGTGTGTTACTTGGCTTTGAGACTCTCCTCTTGATTCCAACCACCATGCCCCCTCACCCTCTCCAATCTCCCTCAGCATAGTTAGTAGGGTAACTATTCTATGTGATACCATCTTCCTCAGCTTTTTCAAAGGTGACTATGAGTAAATCTGATTTTGGATGACACTTTGGGCAAGATACCTGACCTTGCTTGTTACGAAGACCTGGCTTAATGCACCACCAATCCTCTGCTAATCAGTTAGTCCCCACAGACTAGTTAAGACAGCTCACAACAGAAAACATCCAATGATCCAAAACAGCAGTCCTGTCCTTCTCTCAGATCAAATTCAAGAGATGCCCCACACCAGAAGAATTCCTTTGAATGGCCTTTGGTTCATTTTGATTAATGCAAGATCAGTGGTCAATAAAATTACAACAGGTCATGACTTGATTCAAGGCTCCAACTTTGCACAGATTTCTGAGATCTGATCATCAGATTTGTTTTGGGTGCTGGGATAGTTTAATCCAACCTGCTTGTGTTCAGTGGCTGATCTTAAGTTCTTGTCACTGTGAGAATTCTTATTTTGTAGATACATTTTGTTCAGATGGAGACAGAGATGTCTGCTTCTGTGGAGATAGGGAAATATATTTAGGGGACAAATGCCAGTTCTTCTGTTTTTGTGTCAGCCACTGTTGCTACCTGAAGTACTGGAGGTGGTGGGAGAACTTTGTTCGACAACTTCTGACTGTGACCTACGCTGTACCTGGCTCGTGGAAAAACAGTGAAGAATCATCGACAGAGATTGTTTCTGGAGCAGCAGCCACATACTGTATTACTTTTTCCCCCCCTTTTTAAAACAGAAGCCACTAATCTTCTATCTCTCAAGAAAGCATTGGCAATCACTTGACTTTGACAATATGGCCAACTCTAGCTCTATACTAATCAATCAATCTTTTTTTTTTTTAAGCTTATTGAAAAGGTGGTGACAAAACAACTCTTGGTACCTTGCCTCAAATCTCCTTGATGCTTGGTAGGCAGGGTGTTAAACTGGCACACACACAGCTGTTTGCATTGGTAATTGATTTTCTCCTGCCAACAGATGCACATCAAGTACCATGCCAATATTGTTTAATATGTCTATTGCCTTTGATTATGAGATGTTGCTGAGTTGCAATGGGGACCATGGTTAGAGTGTGTGGAGCTGCTCTTGCATAACTTTGTTCTTTTCTCTTCTTGGCCAGTCTCAAAATGTGGTAATAAGCAATTGCTCCTTTTTTCTTTCTGAGTGTGCTCTCATGCAGTTCTTTCAGATGGTAAAAATATAGATGAAGTATTCTGATACCTGCTGTCTTTTTAGTTATCCATCAGAGCTTGAAAAATTCAATGGCAAGTAGGAAACTTTTCCCTAGGGAGTAGGGGACTTAAACTATCGATATCTGTAGAATCTAAACTTTTATTAAAGAATATTAAGTTTAGCACATGGTTAAGCATATGGCCTACTCAATGTGAACCAGTGAACTGTGAGCAGATTTCCCAAACATCAGCATGACATTAATATCACTCAGGTCAGTTTCACAGTTGCTGTTCAGCACCCTGTGAACAGAGCTATGAAACTGACCATAGTCAAGCAAGGATACAGTTAGAAGGATAGAGAATTCTACTGAAAATATTATATCATAATGTACATCTATGGTGTATCCTCACGTTGGATGCTGAATTAAGTTTTGGTATAACAGAAATAAGATGTATAGAGAAGACTAATGAAAGTTATTGATAGCATAGAAAGAGCTCCATAAATGAAGAGATTTGAAAGATCAGCGTTATGTTGTTTAGCGATGATTAAAAGGGTAGACTTCAGAAGTTTACAACATAATAAATGGCATAGAGAAGGTAAATTATGTGCTTCTATGTACGCTTCAGAATACAAGAATAAGGGGACAAACAATTAAATTAATAGGTAAATGTCAAACATATAAAAGAAAATCCTTTTTAAAGATCCCATCAAATTAACTTGTGAAACTCACTGTCACAAGGTACTGTACTGAGCCAAAGATCTTAACAGGACTAAAAAAATTAAACATTTATAATTATGATACTTAGGATATAAGGGTCAGATTTTCAAAAGTGCCTGAACGATTTTAGGAACATGAGTCCCACTGAAGTCAAATAAGGACTTCTTCTCCTAAGCCAAGCACAAACTGCCTGGAAATACGAAGAAACATCGCCTCAAAGATGTTATTGTAAAAATATCCATTAAGGAGGTGGGTTGTATATACCTTCCACCAAAGCCTCTAGTACTGGCGGCTACTGTCAGAAACATGATTTTGAATGTTGAACAGATCCAATATGGCAGCTTATCCTCTGCTGCTTCTTGGGAAAGTTCTGGGATCCACTGAAGCTATTTATGGGGAAGGAAAATTCTCATCAGCAGCCAGGCTGCTGTGAGGTGAATGGGTTCTACTCTTTTCCTAGGTTTCTTCCCCCCAACCCTCGTTTTCCTTTCCGTCCCCCAAAGGGTGAGGGCTCTGTCCCTCTCCATAACAATCCCAAAACCATGAGATAAAATGGAGTGGGGGAGAAAAAGAGAAACATCCTTTCCCTTCCATCATTGGTGGGAAGCATTCAAACTTATCAGACACACAACCTGCCAGATCCTGATACAAAAGATAGAAGTTTAGCCTTCTCACACGTCATTGTCCCTGGAGCTTGCTGGTGACTCCCCTACTCAAGTCTTTCATTTCTGCCTATCAATATCATTTTTTCCAACATCTAGCTAGGAAATGTCTTGTAAATTTTTCAAGCCCTGAGCATTTTATTCTTGTTCTGTTCTTTCCCGTACAGGTTCTTATACTACCCTCATCACTGTAATATTTAAGCACCCTCCAGGAGTGCATTAAGTGACATGCCTAACATACAGCATGTATGGTTCATTATTTCATCTTCTCCCCCAGCTGAGGATTGTGTTTAGTTTTGCTATTGTATTTGCTAAAATAGCTTCTATCAGGACAACTGACATATAAAACCTGAAAACTAAAAGTTAAATAAGATACAACTCAGGTTTAATCTCTCATTATAAAAAAACTGTTTGCCCTTATGTGGCATTTTAAATCCAAAGATTTCAAAGTACTTTACAAACCATGATGAAATAAACTTCGCAGCAAATTTCCCTCTCCCTTCCCCACCCCTCTCCCAGGATTGGGAACCTGAGGCACAAAGACTACACAGACTTTCTCTAGGTCACAGGGTCAGTGGCAGAACCTAGAATTTATGACTTAGTCTCGTGCTTTAAACACCAACCCACATCTCCTATTTTCACCACTCTCAATGGGCCACTAAAGCCACATTTGTACGTGAGCACTTATCTGCACAGGCACTTCGAAATCCAGTGATCACCATAATAATGTAAATGAAGCGTGGCTCACAATTGTGATATTGATATTAAGCTTCTTACCTGTCAGATCCAGTGTCCTATCTATGAAGATGACAGAGGCTCGGTTTTGTGCTGTCTTCCTCCTGTTTTTGGCCTGTGAGTAGTTCGCCAAATCCCCTGCGATAATCTTGCTCAGAGTCCCAATTGCAAAGCACTCCTCTCTCACATTTAAACACTCAAACAAGGAGTTCAAACCAGACACCAGGGTTCTGATCTGAAGCTGCAGCTCAGGAGGCAGAGAGGAGAAGTCCAGGTCGTTCAAGCTGCCAAACTTTTTCTTCTCAGGCCTGGAGGAGTTGATGCGAGCCAGGTCCTGGGGCGTCATGGGAAAGAGCGAGGCAAAGGCCGGGGTCACGAAGAGATGAGGCGAGATGGGCGCCAGTAGCAGGGGGGCATGCCGCACCTCGGCGGTGTAGTTCATGTTGCCCATCCACTGGCAGAGTTTCTCCTCGAACTGCTCGAAGACCGCCTGGCTGCCCCCCTCCGGCTCGGCGCCGCCGGGCGCCCCGTGGGCCAGCAGGTGCACGGCGTGGCTAACGGCGGTGAACACCACGCAGTACTGGAAGCGGCTGAGGCTGACGATGTCGCGAATGATGTCCACCGCCCGGCCCTTCAGCAGGCTGCTCACCACGAACACCGCCTTGGGCTGCTCCGCCGCGCCCGCCTCGAAGCTGGAGAACTCCTTGACATTGAGGGCGCCGGCCTCCAGCAGCCTGCCCGCGCCGCCGCCCGCCCAGTGCAGGCTCTCCGCGCACGCCGCGTCCACGAACACCACGGCCCGCTTGGCCTTGGCCAACACCTGCTCCCAGGCCTGGCGGCAGGCGGCGAGCGCGGCGGCGGCGGGGCAGCCGGACATACTGGGGCGAGGGTCGCGCGCGGCGGAGGGCAGCCCAGTCCCCGCGGCGCGAGCCAGGCCCAGGAAGAGCCGCGGCGGGACAGGTACTGCCGGGGTGGCTGTCACAGGCACAACAGAGCACACGTGCCCGGGGGGGAGGGGACGGCCGCAGGAATGTGACGCACCGAACTGGCGAAGGGCGCTGATTGGCTGCTTGAAGGCGGGGGGCGGGCGATGCGGTGCGCCAGTTCCGGCGTCGTGGCTCTGTCCCGAGCTTGTCTGTGTGGCGGCGGCTGCGAAGCGGGTACGGGAGGAAGCAGAGGTGGGTGTGATGCGGGGCGGAGCCGCCGCAGTGACTTTGCTTAGAGCCCGGAGCAGCTCAAGGGGCCCCTACTTAGGGGGACCAGAGGTCCCGATTTTATAGGGACAGTCCCGATTTTGGGGTCTTTTTCTTATATAGGCTCCTATTACCCCCCACCCCCGTCCCGATTTTTCACACTTGCTGTCTGGTCACCCTACGCCCTATTTTGCTTTTTATTATGTGTGGTGTGTGTGGAGTCCCCCCAAATATTAATGTTTATGGGTCCCAATGGGGTAGCACTGCCTCTGCCCACGTTTTCGATCCTCTGTAGCATTCACATTTTCAAGCGTTTCTGTGCAACCCTAAGGGGTAGAGAGTTTTTTAAAAACATGACATGCACGTGTAATCACAGGACTCCAAGACCTTCCACTTTGTAACTTGGACTACCTTAACCATGCCAACATAACCCTGTAGCCTAGCCAAGATCAACAGCTTCAAGGTATGTCTACATGGGAGCTGAAAGGTGCAATTTGCAGCTCCAGTAGATGTACTGGCAGTAGCTATAATTGAGTTAATATGCTAAGCAGAAGTGTAGCCTTAGCAGTGCTGCCTGAGTACTTGGGGTGGCTAGCGACTCACAGCTACACTTCTGTTTTTAGTGCACTAGCTTAATAAGGGCTAGCACAGGTATGTTTACTCAAACTGGAAATTACACCTTCCAGCTCCAGTGCAGGCATACCCTAAATAGTGTAAGACTTGTAATAAAAGGCAGAATAAGATATAATGGTGTGCAGGGGCTTCAGCTAGATGGTCAAGTTAGTTCATTCTTGTCTAAGCATCTGAGTCCCCCTGTTCTTCCCCTTCTTTCATGGGTCCTAGGCACAGTGTGCCCTTGTTGCTAAGAAGGCTAACGGCATATTGGGCTGCATTAGTAGGAGCATTGCCAGCAGATCAAGGGAAGTGATTATTCCCGTCTATTCGGCGCTGATGAGGCCACATCTGGAGAATTGCATTCAGTTTTGGGGCCCCAGTACAGAAAGGATGTGGACAAATGGGAGAGAGTCCAGTGGAGGGCAACAAAAATGATTAGGGGGCTGGGGCACATGACTTATGAGGAGAGGCTGAGGGAACTGGGCTTATTTAGTCGGCAGAAGAGAAGAATTGAGGGGGGATTTGATAGCAGCCTTCAACTACTTGAAGGAGGGTTCCAAAGAGAATGGAGCTAGGCTGTTTTCAGTGGTGGCAGATGACAGAACGAGGAGCAATGGTCTCAAGTTGCAGTGGGGAAGGTCTAGGTTAGATATTAAGAAAAACTTTTTCATTAGGAGGGTGGTGAAGCACTGAAATGGGTTACCTAGGGAGGTGGTGGAATCTCTATCCTTCGAGGTTCTTAAGGCCTGGCTTGACAAAGCCCTGGCTGGGATGATTTAGTTGGACTAGATGACCTCCTGAGGTCTCTTCCAACCCTAATCTTCTATGATTCTATGGGGAGAATAGGATTACATGCATTGCCCTCTACATGCTCATAATACTTGCAGCTCTGGTGGAACACGTTTGGTTGCTGTGTGTGTTGTGTCTTGAAGTTTAGATTTGATAGCTGATTGTCCTGCAGTTAGGTGAGTTAGAAGGGCTCTTTGAAGGGCTCTAGCAGGGAAATGTGAGCAGTAGAGTTTTTGTTTTAATAGGCCAGTGATTAGAGGAGACTGAGTGAGAGAGTTTGAGTCATCCATTCCAACTATGTGTGGGGCCCAGACTTTAAAAAGCATGTAGATGCCCAGTTGCTGGTAAGATGAAAGCAGCTGAAAGACTCAGCTCTGGTCTACACCTAAAACTGAGGTTGATATAGCTGTGTCACTCATGGGGATAAAAAATTCACAACCCTGAGAGATGTGGTTAAATCAACCTAAGCCCCACTGTAGACAGTGCTAAGTCAATGGAAGAATTCTTCCATTGACATAGCTACTGCCTCTTGAGGGGTGGGGTTTACTGTATCAACAGAAGGGATTTTTCTGTCCATGCAGTTAATGCATCTTTCCAAGAGGTGGTACCTAGGTCCACGGAAGAATTCTGTCAACTGGGCTGCATCTAAACCAGGGATTAGGGTGACCTAACTACAGTGCTCAGGATATGAAATTTTTGACAGCCCTGAGCAATCAGTGTAGCCAGTTCGATATAATTTTTAAGTATAGATCAGGCCTTAGGGCAGTGGTCCCCAGAGTTTTCAGGGTCATGCCCCTGTTTATCTCTGTCTGCACCCTTCCCCCAAACTGGGGCCAGGAGTGGGGTCATGGCACTGGGAGGCGAGGGAGAGGGACATGGACAGGAGTAAGGGGGCCAAGACTGGGGCGACAGCAGGGGGCAGGGCCAGGAGCAAAGCCCCAGCCAAGGCCCGGAGGTGGGGCCCTGGATGCAAGGCCGAGAGCGGAGCGTGGGGCTGGCAGCCAGGGCTGAGAGCAGAGCCCTGGGCGCGGGGCCGACAGCCGCAGGGCCGGGAGCAGAGCCCTGGGGCTGGCAGCCAGGTCCAGGAGTGGAGCTGTGTGGTGCTCCCTCCATGCCCCCTCCCGAACAGTCCTCCATGTCCCTCTAGGGGGGTGCACCCCAAAGTTTGGGGTCCTCTGCCTTAGGGAGCTAGCCAATGGAGTTCGCCAGTGGAGGAAGGCAGAGACATAGGATTTTGAATTTCCTTAATTTGCAGGTACCCTACAAGGAAGACCTGACAATGGGAGGGAAATGACATGCCAACATCACTGCTAACTATACCTGTGGGGCCTCCTGTCAGACAGGCATCCTGACCCTGGAGACTTCCACCCTGGTCTTGACTTGCTGGTAATGTGCCCTTCATGTCCCTGTCAATGAAAATCAGGCAGAGGGAACCACCTTCCGTGAGAGGTGTCTGTTGGTGGAGTCCCTCAGGAAGCTGGTAACAGAGCAGCAGGAGGATAAGGACTTAATCGACAGTATGCACGTGGAAACACCTGGGACGGAGGATGCTAGCTGAGTACACGACTACAGTGGTACCAGAGGAGGAAGGTGAACCAGCTGTTCTAGAGGAAGGAGACTAGCTGGCCACCTGGGACAGTAGACAATGCTCCACACCCCACCCAGGACCCCTGTCCTTCTCAGTCAGGAACCAGTATCATGTACTGGCAAGAGTAGTAGACCACAATGGCTGAGGAACAGACCACAATGGTGAGGAAGAGGAGCCACCTGCCCCCAGGTCTGGGAGCTGAGTCAGGATAGGAGAAAGTCAGGGTCAGGCTGGCACCAGGTGACAGACAGCAGGCAAGTAACAGAGACAGAGACGAATCAGGGTCAGAAGCAATATGGAGACACACACAAATTCCCCCAGAAGTAGAGAGTTAAAGAAACCCCTTTGATAACCCAGTTCCTGTTTCTCTGCTGCCTTCCCCTCCCCCAGAGCCCAGCCGGGGGCCAGACATGCACAACCTCTCCCCCCCCCACAGAGCCCATCTGCGGACCTCCCCCCCAGCCAATACACCCGAATCCCCTCTTCCCCAGAGTCTAACCGCAGGGCCCCCCCAGCCCACATCCCGTCCCCCCGAGAGCCCTCCCCCGAGCCCAAGGATCCAGAGGGAGATACAGCATGATGCTTGGTCCTAGGCTTGCACAGAGTTTTCTGCATGCCATCGTCTCCTTCCCTCAGGGCATGCTGGGAACTGCAGCTGCCAGGAACTCTCTAGCTCCCTGTCCCTCCCCACAGAAGTGTCTTCTGTGTGAAAGGTGGGCTCTGCCAAGTCCAGAGGCCCTTAGTGGCGGCTATCAGCACATTTCTGGAGAGGAAAGGAAATTCTGCATGCACAACATTAATTTCTGCAAAATTCTGCATTGCGCAGTGGCGCAAAACTCCCCCAGGAGAAATATACCAGCATGAGCCAGTCAGTGGGCTCTGGGGGTTGCCACTCAGGTCCTGTTGGGTGGTACTTCCTACAGTGTCTAGCTCCACAGGCTCCTCTAGTGGAAACCTGGGTATCCACTATGGTGGATGTGATGGTGCTATAGAAGCATTGGCGGCCTAGGATCCCCCTGCTCTAGGTTCTTGTCCCCAGGTTCTTACAGGTGTATGAACAAGACTGTTGTATATAAGACATGAGAGGTAATTGTCCTGCTGTATTTGACCTCAGCTGGGGTATTGTGTCCAGTTCTGTGTGCCACACTTTAAGGAAAGATGCGGACAAATTAGAGAGAGTCCAGAGAAGAGCAACAAAAACAATAAAAGATTTAGAAATGTGGGCCTATGAGGAAAGGTTAAAATGCCTGTGCATGTTTAGTCTTGAGAAGAAGACTGAGTGGGGACCTGATAACAGTCTTCAAATATGTTAAGGGCTATATAAAGAAGACGGTGTTCAATTGTTCTCCGTGTCTGCTGAATGGCGGACAAGCAGTAATGAGCTTAAGCTGCAGCAAGGGAGGTTTAGGTTGGCTATTAGGAAAGACATTGTAACTACAGGAAAAGCTATGTTATCTGGCACTTTACAAACCAGAAAGCTCTACAAACCGGAGGAATGGGCATGGGGGCTCCATGAGCTGCCCCTGCCCCGTCCCGAGTGCTGGCTCTGCAGCTCCCATTGGCCAGGGACTGCGGCCAAGGGGAGCTGCAGGCCTGCGCCTTTGGGCGGAGGCAGCACGTAGAGCCACCTGGCCATGACTCTCTGGACATGTCATCGCTTGTGGGGAGCCGACCAAGGTGAGGGCTGCCCAGATCTGGCACCCCAAAATCCCTCCCGCACTCCTGCCCTAAGCCCCTTCCTGAAGCCAAGCTACCTCCCAAAGCCCACGCCCCAGCCCTAAGCTCCTTCCCACACCCAAACTCCCTTCCTCTTAGTTAACCAGAATTTTTGACTTACCGGCACCCCCCATTTCCCCAACATGCCAGATAACAACGCTTTTACTGTATAAGAGTAGTTAAATTCTGGAATAGGCATCCAAGGGAGGCTGTGGAAGCCGCATCATTGTAGGTCAGGGATTGGCAACCTTTGGCATGCAGCCCCCCAGGGAAAGCTGCTGGCAGGCCGGGCCGGTTTGTTTACCTGCAGCATCCGCAGGTTCGGCTGATCACAGCTCCCACTGGCCGCAGTTCGCCGTCTCAGGCCAATGGGGGCTGCGGGAAGCAGCGTGGGCCAAGGAATGTGCTGACCACCCTTCCCGCAGCCCCCATTGGCCTGGGACGGTGAACCATGGCCAGTGGGAGCTGCCATCGGCCGAACCTGCGGACACTGCAGGTAAACAAACCGGCCCAGCCCACCAGCGGCTTTCCCTGACGGGTTGCGTGCCAAAGGTTGCCAATCCCCATTGTAGGTTTTTAAGAACAGGTTGGGCCAATATCTGTTAGGGATGGTCTAGGTTTACTTGGTCCTGCCACAGCACAGGGGGCTGGACTTGATGAGCTCTTGGGATTCCTTCCAGCCCCATATTTCTGTTATTCTATTATTAAAGATAATGACATAATCAAATCTCATGAGTTAGGGCTTTAGCTGGCCACCTGCAGGGGTCAGGAAGGATTTTTGCCCCGATGCACAATTGGCCAGTTGTATTTTTCAAGGGTAGGGAAGTTGCCTTGATCTAAAGATTGGCCGCAGCTAGAGACAGGACCCTGGACCAGGTGGACTGGGGCTTTGAAGTGGTACAGAGGATCCTCTTTTGATGTGTGTTGCTCCCATGCTCAGGATTATAGAGATCACCAGATTTAGGATTGAGAGGGAATTTTCTCCCAGGTCAGACTGGCAGGAACATTCTGGGTTTTCATTTCCCCTGCAACATGGGGTGTGGTTCATCTGCTGGGATCATCTGGGCATATCTCACCTAAACAATTTCCAGCTATTGCAGGGGTCTGGGGCGTTGTTGGCATGTTGGTCTCTCGTTTTCTCCCTATGACGCTCAGTTTAGTCTCCTGAAGACCGAAATGCTTTGATCTAACTTAAAACTTTGGGCTTAAAATAGGGTTAGCTAAGTGAAAAATAGTGGCCTGTGGTATGTAAGTGATCAGACTAGATTTGATGGTCCATTCTGGCCTTGAACTCTATGAAATGGAACATCACAAGCACTGGCAACAGTGTATACAGTTGTCAGAGAGAGATCTGGTGCTGCCTCGCTTTAGTGGCTCTATTGCCAGACAAATGTTAGTGTGAAATAGTGAATCCAGAGACATCTGTCACAGCCACAATCAGGTACCCACCCCCCGTCATTGTAACACAAAGGTCATGTCTCTGATATCACACAGCTGCTAAATTGCTGACCTGCCTGAAATAGTGTCAGTGACAATGAGACACTCTGGTTTGTTATTTTCTTCAGGTTGTAGGACTAGGAGCAATTTGCTTTACCTACAGTACTCTTGCTCAGGTTCTCAACTGAGAGCACACACTTCACAAAGTTCATGCCAGACAATGTCTGCAGCTGGGAGTGCCCAAAAGAACATTCTACACCCCTCAAACTGCTAGTCTTTTTTCTTGTTGCTTGTCTAGTTAAAGTCAATTTTCCTCCTAGCAAAAGATTAACAGTGCCAAAAGATTCCATGTTAGACTAGTGTTTAATACATTTACTAGTGATCTGGAAAAGAGGTTGAGCAGTAAGATGGCAACATTTGCAGATGACACAAAATTATTTAGGTTAGTCAAGACTAACTTTTTTTTACAATCTTCTCCAGAGGTAGATTAAGAAGTTTATTTATTCTTTATTCAAGAATATTTTTCTTAATACAAAAACAATGGGATGTTCAAAAATATGACAAATTTAAAAATTGATAAAAGGAAAAAAATATACAAACACAGTTAACCAAGAACTCATTGCTAAAAGACATTGTGGCCAAGAGCGTAGCAAGATTCAAAAAATGATTTGCCATTTGATGGATAACAATATCTAGAGTTATAATAGTAAGGGTTAAAAACAAGGTAGCCAAGAGTTTTGGAAGAGATATAAACCTTCCTGCTTCATAGTATAAACAACTTCTAATTTATGAAGTTAGGAAGAAACTTTCTCTGTAGGAAAGTTATTCCATAATTGTCTTTTGCAAAATTTCTTGAATAGACAGGATTCTGAACTAGATAAAATACTTGTTCTGATCCAGTATAGCAATTTCTATGTTCCTAAAGGCTTGAGATGCCATAGGAACTAAGCATGCATGGTCTGGGTCATAAATAATATAAGGAATTGCCTAAAAAACAGCAATAGAAATTATAAAAGGGCTCAGCCCAAGGGAGATTCTGAGTCAAGGCATGCATCCGACGAAGTGGGCATTCACCCACGAAAGCTTATGCTCCAATACATCTGTTAGTCTTAAAGGTGCCACAGGACTCTCTGTTGCTTTTTTCAGAAGCAATGTGCAAGATATTGTCAGGCAACTGGAACAAAGTAGATCTAGCTTAGTTGTCAGAACCTAATGGTCAGAGCAGGCATCAGGAACCAAGGACTAGTGTCAGAGTGGGAATCAGTAGTTGGAAGATGGAGCCAAGGGTCAAACCAGAGGGCAGGAACTGGATACCAGAGCCAAGGGTCAAGCTGCAGTCAGAAACCAGAGCCACAAATCAAGCCAGAGGTCAGGAACTGGAGTAAGCAGGTAACAGGCAAAGGGGGGGGGCGGGGCTTAAGGCAGGGGCAGCAGGACAGAGGCAAAGCGGGATGCAAGGAAGGAGCAGCAGGAACAAGGTGAGACAGGAGCATTCACAATGGCGGGTAGGAGCATTAAGCAGCCAGCAAGTTGCTGCTGCTGGCTTAAGAGCAATGAGATGGTTTGGCCAATCAGGCAGCCTGCTGCAGGCCAGTTGTACTGATGAGGCTGCCTGGAGTTTAACTCTGCTGCAGGCCCTGATTTTTGACCATAACTCCCTGGGTGCTGTCTAGGGGCCTCGGACCTGGTTTCTCAGGGTAAGTGTGATGAAAGGTGCACAGGAGATCCGGGGCATGGTTGTGTTCTGTAGGTTTCCTTGAATGTTAGTCTGGGCCATACCCATTCCACTCAATTAGATATTGTAGTTTTCCTCAGATCCCACGAAAGTCTAGGAGTTGCCAAACTGCAT